GCTTTGTCTGACATACTTTGGTCATATTGTAAGGAGAGACCGGTCCTTGGAGAAGGAATCGTGCTTGGGAAGGTGGAGGCCAGGCGCAGGAGGGGAAGGCCCTCTGGGAGGTGGATTGATTTGGTGACTGGGGCAATCAGGATGGGTGTGTCAGAGGCAATGAGATTGGCACAGGACAGAGTTTAGAGCTGTTCTATATAGGGTCGCTATGAGCTGCAAGCGACTCAACGGCACATAACAACAACAACATACTTGATGAAGAGAACTTGACATCACCCAAAGATCCTGGACTTTGAGCTATAGATAGCAACATATGGCACTCAGAGTGATCTTCCTCAGGAAGAAAGGTGTCCTATAGGACAGAAGAACAAACCATGGAAAATACAGCTCTCTGTCCACTGAAGTTTGTGTCTCATGTTTCATTGCAATATGAAACAAATGAGGCTGCCTGGCCCATACTACATTGCTCAGTCCTTGATTTTCATCTAGGTTTGACTAAGTAGAACTAGGCCATATCTATGAAACATGAATGAATATGCAAGGTGTGACACATGATCCAAAGCTGTCACTAGCAACATCTTCTCTTTTCATTTCTGGCAAATAGATGCAGATAATGAGGACTTAGGATAAAACAGAATCATCAGATTAACAGACCTTTTCATCCTAAGTTATTATTAGGAGGAAAGTCATTCTCTGACCTCAAACATTCATGTTTACTGTTCTGAGGGTAAGAAATAAAGCTTACTGTATTAAAAAAATAAAATATAAATGCTTTTTCTTGTTTATAGTAACTATTACTATTCTTCCTAATGCAATTATGTGCTATGAGTCAGCGAGTTGGACAGTGACTAGGGATGATAGAAAGAGAATTGATGTCTTTGAGCTGTGGTGCTGCAGAAGAGTGTTGAATATACTATGGACTGCTAGGAGAACAAACAGGTTTGTCCTGGAGAAGGTGAAGCAGGAATGCTCCATGGAGTCAAGGATTCTGAAGAAGCTTGGTCTGACACACTTTGGGCATGTTGCAAAAAAGGGACTGGTCCTTGGAAAGGGACATAATGTTTGGGAAAGTGAAGGGACAGCCCAGGAGAGGAAGGCCCTCAATGAGATGGATCGATTCTGTGATTGGGCTGGTGTGAATGAGTGTGTTTGAGAGGGCAAGGTTGGCACAGGATAGAACGGCATTTAGGGCTCTTGTGCATAGGGTCGCTATGAGTCGCAAATGACTCGATGGCACATAACAACAGCACAAACAACAATGTAATACTAGAAACTCTGGTGACAGTGATTAGGGAGTTGTGCTACTAAGTCCAAAGATTGTGCCCTCTTGCAATTTGAATCCATCAGTTACTCCAAGAGGAAAACATGGGCAGTTTCTACATGTGCAATTTATAGCCTTCAAAAATTCAATAGCAGATCAAGTATGAATGGTTTTCACTTCGGGGCAATGAGTTGAATTGAGTTGAAACTAATACTGATCTTGACAAAAAATTCACTTCACAAAGCTACTGTTTATTTTTAAAAGTAAATGACTGGCAGGGAAAAAAAATCATAAGATTAGTTTTTTAAAAATACTATTTACAAAATTCAAATATATTGTCCTTCCCCTTTACTTCACTCCTCCATCCATCAAATTGTGCAACTCTGTGATTAACACCCCATCTTCCCTGCCCATCCTCACCCCTCTGCTTTGCTTTCACCCTTCCCACCCCCTTGAATCCTATATATTCTACATATCCTATATTCATTCTACAATAATGATTTTATCCAATATTTGTCCTTGTGGGACTGAATTAGTTCACTCAGCATAAAGCTCTCCAATCCCTCCCAAGTTAGGTAGTAATTTACAAAGTAACTGCTTCTGCAAGCTGCATAATATTCCATTGTATAAATATATCACAACTTCTCAATCCATTTGTTTGTGGTTGGGTATCTGTGCTGTTTCCATGTTATTGTTTTGATGAATAATGCTGCTAGGAACAGTGGTATATAAGTTTCCATTTGAACCTCAGTTCTCATTTTCTTG